CCCCTTCCCCTCCAGACCCCAATAAAGCCGTTCCCGCAGCAGCCGCAGTTTCTCGAGTCTCATTCCCGGTTCATCCCGGGCCAAACGAGCCCGGTTTGCCCGGGGCTGGGCAATCCCGGGACAGGCACGGTTCCGTCAGGGTTCTGGGAGAAATTCCCTTGGCTTCTTCTTTAGTGGTGGATTTTATCCCTATTTTTCCTCTCTTTTATCCCTATTTTCCTCTATTTTATCTCTATACAGCAAAAAATGATGGGAAAAAAGCAGGAAAATCACTTCAAGTGCCTTTTCCAATGGAAAAGTCCCACTTTTAGTCAAAATACAGCAAAAAAAAGATGGAAAAAATGTTGGAAAATGATTGTTTTGTAAAGCACAAAATACTGAAAAGGGTCAAAAACCTTGAAAAAAGAGGGTTTGGGGTTTCCTAAAAAAATAAATACAAAACTTTTAGCTGCTGGAAGAAGAATTTTATTTGAAATTTTGATTTTCATCAGTGCACAAAGAGATGATTTTTTGAGAATCCGCTCAGAAATTGGGAATTTAGGGAACAGATAAAGCTCCGGGAGTCCCAAATTCCCAGGATAGAAAAAGGATAAAAAATGGGATAAATCCCGAATTCCCAAGATCACAGCCAGATGTCGGAGGTGCAGTTCCCCATTCCCAAATTCCCAATCCCAATCCCAAATTCCCAATCCCAAATTCCCCAATCACAGCCAGATGTCGGAGGTGCATTCCCCATTCCCCAATCCCAATCCCAAATTCCCAATCCCAAATCCCAAATCACAGCCAGATGTCGGAGGTGCAGTCGCCCATTCCCCATTCCCAAATCCCCCAATCCCAAATTCCCAATCCCAAATCCCAAATTTCCAATCACACCCAGATGTCGGAGATGCAGTTCCCCATTCCCCCAATCCCAAATTCCCAATCCCAAATTCCCAATCCCAAATCACAGCCAGATGTCGGAGGTGCAGTCGTCCATTCCCAAATTCCCAATCCCAAATTCCCAATCCCAATCACACCCAGATGTCAGAGGTGCATTCCCCAATCCCAAATTCCCAATCCCAAATCCCAATCACAGCCAGATGTCGGAGGTGGAATCCCCATTCCCCAATCCCAAATTCCCAATCCCAAATTCCCAATCCCAAATTCCCAAATCACAGCCAGATGTCGGAGGTGCAGTCCCCCATTCCCAAATTCCCAAATCCCAAATTCCCAATCCCAAATTCCCAAATTCCCAAATCACAGCCAGATGTCGGAGGTGCAGTCGCCCCCCGGGTACCGCATCTCGTGGGCCAGGCAGGGTCCCAGGGGCTCCTTCCCAAAATCCACCAGGAATTTGGGATTCACGGCCAATCCCCCCCTGGCCGTGTCCACGTCGAGCTGGAGCAGCACCGAGCCCTCCCTGGAAATGGGACGGGAAAAAGGGTCAGGAAAAGGGGTTGGGATTGGGAAAAAGGGTCAGGAAAAGGGGTTGGGAAAATGGAGTGGGATTGGGAAAAGGGTCGGGAAAAAGGGTCGGGAAAAGGGTCAGGAAATGGGGTTGGAGGTGGGGAAAAGGGTTGGGAAAAGGGATTGGAAAAAGGGGATGGGATTGGGAAAAGGGGTTCAGAAAAGGGGTTGGGTTAGGAAAAGGGTTTGGGATTGGGAAAAGGGTTTGGGAAAAGGGTTTGGGAAAAGGGATTGAGATTGGGAAAAGGGTTTGGGAAAAGGTTTGGGGCTGGGAAAAGGGTTTGGGGAAAGGGATTGGGATTGGGAAAAGGGTTTGGGAAAAGGGATTGGGGTTGGGAAAAGGGTTTGGGAAAAGGGATTGGGATTGGGAAAAAGGGTTTGGGAAAAGGGATTGGGGTTGGGAAAAGGTTTGGGAAAAGAGTTTGGGATTGGGAAAAAGGAATGGGAAAAGGGATTGGGATTGGGAAAGGGTTTGGGATTGGGAAAGGGTTTGGGAAAAGGGTTTGGGATTGGGAAAAGGGTTTGGGAAAAGGGATTGGGATTGGGAAAAGGGTTTGGGAAAAGGGCTTGGGGCTGGGAAAGGGTTTGGGAAAAGGGATTGGGGTTGGGAAAAAGGGTTTGGGAAAAGGGATTGGGGTTGGGAAAAGGGTTTGGGAAAAGGGATTTGGACTGGGAAAGGGCTTGGGAAAGGAGATTTGGATTGGGAAAAGGGTTTGGGAAAAGGGATTGGGGTCGGGAAAAGGGTTTGGGAAAAGGGATTGGGGTCGGGAAAAGGGTTTGGGAAAAGGGATTGGG